CGGGCAAGCTTCGCGACTTTACCAATCTTCTCCAGCCCAGATTCAACAGTTGATTGGGCATGGCCGAGCATCGCTGCATGTTCCCCGGTAGTGGCGTGCGGATCCTCTTCCACATTGGATTGCAGCAACTTCAAGTCTAACTCCATCGGCCGGCCGGACCTTGGAGCATCTTGGAGAGAAAAATCTCCTTTCTTGAACTTGGCCATCCAGGTCTTGCACGTGACGTAAGAGATAGCGTCAGCGCCATATGTATCCACTATCTTGGCTTGGGCTTCCTTTGCCGTTTAAGCCAGACTGATGAAGGAAAAGAAGACAGTGCATCAGGTGCATCCTGTCGGGTTGGAACTTGAGCGGCATTTGGAATCCAATGCAAGCTGGGCTGAGTATGAGGTAGTGATGTGAAAGATCCTCTGCGTGCTTCATGCACACCCATCGATAAGTTCATAAAGACATAACATGCAAGCTAATATGGTTGCGATCAAACACCTGGCGGAAACTTTCCGGTCAAACCTAATAGATTAGTTCTACAGTAATGGCATAATGCACTGGAAAATCGGAAATAATGCAGCGGCAACATCTTGAGGTGGCTGGTTGCACTAACACTCTTCAGGCAGGTGGGGCTGTCTCACATATGGATGCCGTTAACTCTGCCGGTGCAGGCTCCTGCATGAAGCTTGTTTTCCGTTGAATATATACCCTTTTCACTTCAAACTCACCACATCTCTAAACACATCGCCAACTCTTTAACACAAATTCACACTATTCCTTAGATGAGGCAGTTCGCCAACAAATCAGCCAGACCACCACCGCGAAGCCCTGCTCCCGACGCTCACCTTAGTTGGTCAGCGCGGAATAAGATTTTAACACATGACTGGCTCCGCCCGTTATTTAATGTTTGTGTGCGAAGTCTCAAATGCTTCATAACATTTTCAATTTTTAATTTCACATCCACTCTTCGCCACGGTGAAGTTACTCGTAGACGCGCATTCATGCACCGGCAATTTGTGCCCGCCGCTTTGGCCATGCCCCGTTTGTGTTTGCGGAATTTAGATATTTTTTAAAACTTTTTGCATTTTTGGAACTGCTCCGTGAGGTCCTGGCCCATATGAGAGGCTCCGCCACTTTTCAAAAATGTGCAAATCGGCGGTGCAGAGACTTGGCTTGGATATAGGGTATCGTCCGTCACTGGAACAAATAAATCAGGCAAAGTTTGTGCCTAGTGACAGAAATACCCTTGCCATGGTGCTATACTGCCGATCTGCACCATTCTTGAAAAGTGGCGGGCCTCTCAAAGTAGGCGGGCTTCGTGAGGCAGTCCGAAAAATTTTGGAAAAATATCAAAATTCGTCAAAAGCAAGTGGCGTAGCCATAGGGCGGAGCTAAATTGCCGGTGCATGAATGCGCGTCTACGGTACCTTCGTCTATGCGAAGAAGTGGATGTTGAAATCAAAAATTGAAAAGTTAGAAGTTCGCCAACAAACTTAAAAAGGTGGGGTCAGTCATGTGTTTGAAATCTATGTCCGCGCTGACAAGGAGCGGTGACCGTCGGGCGGGGTTGCGGTAGTGTCTGAGTGATTTGGTAGGTGAACTGCCTGGCTAAGAAGAGTGGTAAAATTGCTTTGGAAAGTGGTGAATTCCGCTTTAGAAAGTGTGAATTTGGTTTAAAATGGTCGAGTTTAAAGTGAAAATGGTATCGATGATCCGGCCGTCGTTCTGCACATAGAGTTGACTCGGTCCCAGAAAGCGTCAGCCTTTTTTCGCGTCACCCCTGTGGTCACCCAAGAGTTCTGGAAGTAGATAGGGAGAAAGGAGTAGGCATAGACAGGAACACTGAAACCAGAATTTTGTACGAACTACGTCAAAAGCTGTCGCTTTTCACATAGTTTTTTGCTGTTGCAAGGAAGTCTGACGAATAGACCCATTCATCAAAACGGCACCTGCAGAGAATTGTGTTAGCAGTTACAAGCCTGAGAACCTGCTCACAGAACTGGAGCATACCGTCTCATCATGTCCGACAAGTCATAAGTATTAGGTTGTCCGGAAAGTTCTCAGCGTTTTGTGTTACCATTTTTTTTTGTACATTCATTGTTGATCAAAACACATCCTCCCTTACTTCTCAGTAGTACATCCTGAAGAGAATTTCCTGCGCTATCTGATGGTATAATTGCCATTTCACCATTGCCATTGCTTGATAAACCCCCCTTTTCCTATGACTTTTTGAAGCATGTCAAAACAGCAACTTCGGACAATATTGTTTTTAACAACAAATTGGGTCAATCCGCAGTCGAGACGGCTCGAAAAATTAAGCAGGTGTAGGGGCCCATTAGTGTTGGAGAAAGCACCGTGCGACAATGGTTCGACCAATTTCGTTCTGGAGATTTCAGCCTTGGAGATGAACCTCGTAGCAGTCGACCTTATGATTTATGATTTATTATTGGCAAACTAGTTACAATGGTCGAGGTAAATATTGTATAAGAACAATACTCCGATAAGGTAAAAAAACACTCATGGTCATACAAGAGATATAGCTGCGAAGCACTGAGTGGAGAGTTAGTCAGCGCAGAAGGGCAATGGGCCTCCAATACTGCAAGTCCATAGATGCTCATGTAGGAACTCCGGATACCAACTTAGTAGGTCCGCCAACTTTGTCCAGCTCCACTTAGCAGATAGGGTGGAGAAAAAAAAATCCAGTGGGTATATGATTTATGCAATACCTGACGAGGATTTGAAGGCGTTTGTGGAGGCTGACCCATCGCAAACAATACGAGATATTGCAGAAGAGCTAGGCGTTGGCAAATCCACTGTTGATAGTCTGAAACGCATTGGGAGGATGAAAAAAACCCGACAAGTGGGTGCCCCACAATTTGAGTGACCGGCAGAAATTGGCATGTCTCGAGGTTCCTTCTTCATGCTTTTGCGTAACAGAAACGACTCGTTTCTGGTTCGAATTGTCACCTGTGATGAAAAGTGGAACATGTATGATAACAGGAGACTTTCCGAACAGTGGCTGGATTCCGACGAACCACCGTGGTAATTTCCAAGCCGAACCTTCACCAAAAAAGGTTATGGTCACAGTGTGGTGGTCATCGGTTAGTGTGACCCACTACCACTAACTTTTTGTCACCAGGCCAAACCATCACAGCAGAGTCCTACTGTGAAGAAATCGACAAAATGTACCGAAAATTGCGTCACCTGCAGCCAGCACTTGTCAACGGTACCTGACGAGGATTTGAAGGCGTTTGTGGAGGCAGACCCATCCCGAACAATTCGAGAGATTGCAAAAAAGCTAGGCGTTGGCAAATCCAGTGTTGCACATGGTCTGAAACGCATTGGGAAGGTGAAAAAAGCTAGGCGTTGGCAAATCCAGTGTTGCACATGGTCTGAAACGCATTGGGAAGGTGGAAAAAACTCGACAAGTCGGTGCCAAACAAGTGAGTGACCGGCAGAAACTGGCATGTCTCGAGGTTTCCTCTTCACTGCTTTTGCGCAACAGAAACGACCCGTTTTTGGATCGAATTGTCACCAGTGATAAAAAGTGGATCACGATTGATAACAGGAGACGTTACGGACCGTATGGCCCCGATGAACGACCGAGGCAAATTTCCAAGCCGAACCTTCACCAAAAAGCTTTATGGTCCCAGTGTGGTGGTCATCGCTATGTGATCCACTAACTATTTGTCACCAGGCCAAACCATCAACAGCAGAGTCCTACTGTGAAGAAATCGACAAAATGTACCGAAAATTGCGTCACGCTGCAGCCAGCACTTGTCACGGTACCTGACGAGGATTTTGAAGGCGTTCGTGGAGGCAGACCCATCCCGAACAATTCGAGAGATTGCAAAAAAGCTAGGCGTTGGCAAATCCAGTGTTGCACATGGTCTGAAACGCATTGGGAAGGTGAAAAAGCTAGGCGTTGGCAAATCCAGTGTTGCACATGGTCTGAAACGCATTGGGAAGGTGGAAAAAACTCGACAAGTCGGTGCCAAACAAGTGAGTGACCGGCAGAAACTGGCATGTCTCGAGGTTTCCTCTTCACTGCTTTTGCGCAACAGAAACGACCCGTTTTTGGATCGAATTGTCACCAGTGATAAAAAGTGGATCACGATTGATAACAGGAGACGTTACGGACCGTATTGGACGCCGATGAACCACCGAGGCAATTTCCAAGCCGAACCTTCACCAAAAAAGCTTATGGTCCCAGTGTGGTGGTCATCGGCTAGTGTGATCCACTAACTATTTGTCACCAGGCCAAACCATCACATCAGAATCCTACTGTGAAGAAATCGACAAAATGTACCGAAAATTGCGCCAGCTGCAGCCAGCACTTGTCAACAGAAAGGGTCCGATTCTTCTGCATGACAACGCCCATCCACACATTTCACAAGTCACTATACATAAATTAAACGAATTGGAGGTTGAAGTTCTACCTCACCCACCATAAGCTCCAGACCTTTCACCAACCGACTATCACGACGTTTTCAGAAGACCAGGCAAAAAAACCCTACATGGACTTCGTGGTTTCTCTACCAACCATTTTTTTTCTTTGATGGGATTCATCGAATGGTGTCACATTGGCAAAAGTGTGCTGATTCGAACGGTGCTTATTTCGATTAAATCCGATGAGTATTAAGAAAGTTATGATAGTTTGAAGTGAAACAGTCAAAACGCTGAGAACTTTCCGGACAACCTAATATACATATGTTGAAAAACTGATTCTTAGCGTTGGTAAATAGGACTAGGGATGCGCCATGTATTCCAATTCCATTTGCGATTGTACTGGTATTTTGCATTCAACGAGTTGAAAGGGTTCGCTGACGCAAGAGGGATTTGCTTCGGGATTCGATTTCTGAAAGGTGCGCCTCGCCCCTGAAATGCTGCTACGAACTGCGCAGAGCTAGACGCCTCTACCTTTTGCGCCGTTTCTTCCCCTCGTTTCTATAACTATTTAAAATACTGAGAGGAGCCTTTGTGTCAGAGTGACACCATTTCAGCCTACGAAAATGACCGTCACCTCATCGGCACAACGCTGGGTCGTGTGGCAGGGCGTATTCGAGAAGCCCGCTATGCTATCGATAGCCGAGAGTATTTTCTGGCCCAGAATGACCATCCACATCATCGGAATGGAGGGGCGAAAAGTCCATTCAGTAAGGTAAAGCTTCTTTCAGCTTGATGAACATAAACTTCTGTCGATTGTTAGCCCAGTTCAGAAAATTTGGAATTATACTCTGCTGGAAGAAGGCAATGGAGTCGTTTTCACTGTCCGATCTCATGATGGTGAGGTTATTTTGGCTTTCTAGACTCTTCTCATGGGCTTTATGGTTAATTTTCTAGGAGAGGAAGGTTATCCGGGTAATGCCACAGTGCAGGTCTCCTATGTGCTTACCAATCACAATGAAATTCTGGTACAGTACTCGGCAAATACCGACAAGTCGACGTTGATGAATTTGTCAAGCAATTTTCATCTCAATCTGGATGGCCAAGAGGTCTGTTTCAGTACCTCATAGGTGTTTTCGTCAAATAGTGTTTTGTCCTTGAGGTGAGTTGAAAAGAAAAATTGTGGGACGGAGGGGGGGGGGAGAAGAAATTTAAAGTGAAAACATAAGAAAACATCTTCCCTGATCCTCAAGCATAGAGTTAGCGCTGATTATCTAAATCTCTCTTTTTTGAATTTTGACCGGTCATTCTGGTAAGGACAAGAGTCCACAATTAGCTAGCAAGTGATAAAAAGTCATACAGGGTGTCGACAAGGCTGTCCGGTATTTACATGTGCATAGTTCAGAAGTTTCGTATACTGACAAGTGCTTACAGTTGTGCCCCTCCCCACAGTTATCAGCGCCAGCGCCATTTTCCAACGCAAAATGTTATTAGCCGTAGCAAGCCCTATGATTATGCATGATATGTGAGAGCTATGGGGCTCTGAAAATGGGTCGTTCGGGGTTGAAATGCCTTGCCACCTTCACAAAAAAAGCAATTTGTGCCTGAAACCGTGAGATAAAGCCAGATCCGAAAATGGATTCCTAGTCTTCGAGCACAATAGGGCGGCCAGCCACCGAGTGGGAGTTGTCGGAGCGCGATTTAGGCGTATGCGTGCGCGATTCTAAACAGTACGGTTTGGAGATTAGTGGTTATATAGAGCAGTACGCACTTACTACGAATACTCGCCGATATAGAGAAATAGGGACGCACTTTGGGGGCAATTGGTTTGGTACTCTCGTTTAACCTAAAGACAGCATGAATTAATAAACTCCTTAAGACGAGAAGGATTAATACGCCTGGCAGGAGCGGAATTCGCGGACCCTGAGCAGTACTGCATGGCGCCCTTTTCCAACGAATGGTACTGTTATAAGGCCCTGTCAATGCTGCAGCATACCGACGAACGCTCCACAAGCCCGCCTCGCCCACAAATGTCCAACTAATGCTAATGGCTGGTATTGCTTCATTTACGAAATGGAAAATATCGAAGCGAAGGTATGATATGAAGCGGCTGCGCGTTGCTGCATGCTTTGAGTACAGATGCCAGCCGTTACTTTAGCGAAGCAGTTACCTGGGAAGACGCCTGCGGGAAACCCTCACGGGTTTGTTCCCAACTCTCATAAAACGCAAGGGCTTTTCTTGACAGCGTTTCCTGATAGTTCCACTTCTTTTTTCGCCAGGTTTTCCCCGTTATAACACCTTGCTGGCATTTCAGGCCAATTAACAAATTATCGTGCCAACTGCCGCACTTAATAGATTTTTGCTTTTTTTTCGTTGTACAATATTACGTTTTCGCAGTCGGGAATGCGTGGGATGCAGCCTCCCCCCCCCCCCAACCGATAGACTGATATTTGTGGAGCCAGCTAGACCGTACTGCGAGAGACATACTCCAGCCCATGGCAGAGATCGCCACACTGAAATTTTATGCAGGGATTAACATGGTCTGTAAAATTTAGGTACAGTTCCACCCTGACCCCATGAGTGAATCTCTTCACTTTTGTGCCTTTCGTATTACCACACCTTTTGTTTGCTTAAGCATCCCTGTTGTCGAGCGGCTGAGCGATACTACAGTTAGGCCTGAATCCGCCCACACGATCAGTCGTAAACAACGACGTTTAAGCAGCCTCACAATCACTCGTGAGTAATGTGAGCATCATTATTAGGCTGTAGCAGCAACGTTTGAAAACCATAAATACTGTTAAAAACATGAAATAAGCCTCAAGCTTTACGTGTTAGACAAACACCCAGAGTAGGTAACAGGAATAGGAAGAAGACAGAGCTCATAGGCGTGAACCAGTCCCTTCTTTTTATGTCCAGTCGCCAGTGATCGGGACACGCAGCGGCGGCTTTGGGAGTGTTGGCAAACCGATATGGTAATCCCGACAATTCATCCTTTCAAAATGAAATCTCTTCCCATTAAGACTCCAAGGTAAAACTCTTCGATTTGGCCCAACTTGGAAAGCGTGCTGTCATGCTGGGATAGCACTTCACCGACCATCACCTCAGCTGAAGACAGCGCATAGGAGATTGGGGGCGGGCGGTTTCCGCAAGCACCACTGGGCGGAGGGACTGCGAGAGGACGTTTAGCCCCCTCCCTCCCACTCAGCACTCTCATTCCCACCAGTGACAGTGACCGAACGCTCCCTCCCCCTCCACCCCAGCCATACTGCTCACTGCCTCTTGACCCCCTTATTGTCTCCCATCTTTACGATAGTCTTCACTGCACTATATTTAGAGTTCCACGCTCGACAATCATAAGGTGCAAGTGAGTGCGACTTCATTCTTGGAGACTGAAAAGGATGGCACTGTGACAGGTTAGTATGGGCCTTATTAAGAGCTGGGCGAGTTGCTCTCGAAGACGAGGTTCTTTTGCTCTTGCTCATCGGAAGGGTAGCCCGTAGAAGCTGCAAAGCGTAACGGCTCGAATATCTTCAGAGAAATCTTCTCGTCTTCTCTCAAAATGGTATACTTGTAGGTGAAATCATCGACCTGCCGTCAACGTCACGAGATCCTCAACCGATTACTCGTGACAATGCCAACTCCATAAGTCAAATCTACTGCTTTGATCCGCTTCAAACTAAATCGGCCAAGAAATTCCGGCATATGATGAGGTGAGTGAGTGAGCTCTTTTGTGGTGATGGAAGAGGTTCCCTAATGAAATCGAGAAAAAGACGGCTGACTGCTGAGAATATCTGACGGGTGCAATCTGAGAGACGAGTGCTTCATTTCAGTAAACGTCATTCCTTTTTTGGCACCACAGTGATTGAAGCGCTTTAATGAGAAACCGCAGAGTTCTCCAGGAATTTCTCAGAGCGAAGGCAGCAGGCAGCAGTAAGGGAGGGGGGGGGGAGGGAAGGGAGGCGCGGGAGGTGATGCTGCACAGTGGGCTCCTGATACCTTCGACCCGAGCTTGCCGATCGGCCTCTGTGGAGGGCTGTATTCGAGCAGTTTTTGGCTCGCTGAGAGGAGTCAGCAGTCACACCTCACAGTCTTGATAGAGTTGCAAGAGCACAAGTGTGAGCAGAACGAGCATGCTGACAAGAATAGGTTTTATATGTAGACGTGGGGAACATACGTCAAACAGAAGTATCATATTTCTAAATCTGTTTTTGTTTCTGAAACAATCTGCTTTTTTTGGCTGCCTGGCCTGAAGTAAGCCTGCGAGACTTGCGCCTTTATCATTTGCACGTGCCTACAGTTTTGTTCCCTGCGGATGCTGGCGCATGTCAGAGGGTTCGTACAGTTGTTGCCCCACTCAAAGACGCAGTTCCGACAAGAGGTTAAAACTTCGTGGGTAGAGTTGAAAATATAAGTAGATATTAGACCTTCTGCGGCACTATTTTCGGAGTTATGGCTACTTAATCAGAAGAGAAGCGGAGGGAGCACTTGTTGGGAAACTTTAAATACCCACCTCCCTTCAGCGAGAGGCCAAGATTCGCCGGGGTTTGGGTCGAGGAAACAGAAATTAGAAGTGGGATAGCGGATAGCTGACCGAACAAGACTGCAAACACTAGCGCGAGGTGGAATTCATTGCGCTGAAGGAAAGCCACATGAGCAACATAGTGACCGTTCGCACACAAGGACTCACTAATATGCGTAATCGCGAAATGTGTCTTTGGGAGCTCCTGAGCCCTGGAGCGTCTGCATTTCTTAACCATCATAACCCATACCATATTATTGTGGGTCAAGATAGTTAGGAAAAGGGCTCAGGACCCCCTAAAGACACATTTCGCTTTTCCATTAGGGTACGCTAGCATAGCACTCACTAGGGCTTATTGCAGGTTCAAGGGTGTGGACATAGTTAGGGGTACCACTGTGCCGTGCGCTCCTCCCATCTAGGCTCGCCGAGAGGAGGACGCACCAATGAAGAAGGCGAGCGTACACCTGACTCCACCTAAGATCCAGCGTCAAATGTGCGAATTTACTCAGACTCGGGCGCCACTCACTGTTCCACTGCATGGAGTCAAGTCACGCCTACCGTTATTAAAGTGGACCACTAAAAGTTACATTTTTCTGATCGAACGAGCCCATTAATCTAAACGATTCCAGGATTTTCTCGAATAAGTCCGGCATCGATCTCAACATTACCTCGACGCTAGGGTAGGTAATCCGTTTTCGTCTCACACTGTCCACAATCCTAGGTCATATGTTCGGCAAAATCAGGCTCAGCGTTTTAGTTGTATACGTTTTAACGCCGGTACGGAACTTGATGGAATCGTTGGAAAACAGGGGAACATTTACAAACGACGTTCAGCATTTGTTGTTGGCTGCCGAGGCTTCGAGGACGCTTGCAATCAGGTAAAGGCCGTAGACCTGCAGGGGCAGAACAGGATATAGAGAGAAGAAAAAAGGGGAAATCAAATCGTCAGAAATCATCCAATAATCTTCTTTCAGAGCCATTTTCCAACGATTTCTCTTCGACCCGACCAACTCTACCAGCACATCACCATTTATCGATTTTCACTGGTTGAATAAATATTGTGCCATTGATGCAAATGAATAAAATNTTGATTCTTGCTGTCAATGAAGTGTCAAAATGTAGAAGGTCAGCCCACGAGAGATGCTCGGAATGTTACATGCTTTGAACCCGCAGTGGAATTTGAACGGGACCCTTGAAAGTGTGCCGATCCAGGAGCGATCAAAGCTTAACCTTTCTACGCTCTCCTTCACATTGTACTACAAATCAGGCGATAGAAAGCTTTTGTTGGCCTGGGAGAGATCCGATCAAATTTTGTCGTAAAGACAACCAGTTCACAGTGATAGGCGATGTCCCTTACGATTAGCCGACAGATAAAATTCCCCTTCCTCGTTAGAGACCCGGTTTCGCACTTGCAGAGATTGCACTTTTCCGGAGGGTTAAGTGGGGGTGGCAAGGTGTTCAGAACTGTGGACTGCGGCACCTCAAAAAGTTTCCTACTGTCTTTTATCCACTTTTCGGAGAAATTCTTTAGTTTCTCCGAAAAAAAACTGCCGTGAAAGGGAGACAACGAAAAGAGATTTTGCGAAGACTACTGCGACCCCCTGCCGATAAGCTCTGAAAAGGGGTGCCTTTTCCTCATCCAGGCATTTTAATCTGCAGTGTGGAGATCTACAGCCCGAACGTGGGGTCTCTACTTTGTTTGCCACCGTCAATGGCGTTTAAAAATGGATTGTGAAACGTTGCAGTACACCAGGATCACGTGATGTACCAAAACAGATGAAGGCTATTGTGAAAGCACGCATGATTTCTACATACGTTACTACTCGAGCTCTGGAAGATGTTGTCTGCCTCCTGCTAATGAGGCCTTGGTAGAGCACTGTCATCCATCAGGACCAACAGTAGTGGCGGGAAGACCTGGAACGTGGTCAACATATGTGCATCATTCCCCATTCCTCTCAACCTTCCCTATCTTGGCGATGTCTGTCTGAAAGAAGATGCAGCAGGGATATGTACGACGAAACTATGATGGCGGCCGAATTTGCAATAGCGGAAGAAATTGAAATCACAAAAGAAATAGAATTGTTCACACGGGTCATTATCTGGTTATGCTTAGCTTGAGAAGAGTGATGTTGGCTTTGTAGTTTTATATTATGACAATTGCAGTTTTACGCCGCAGTTTGCGCTCCGAAAAGGACCACAAGAATGCTGAGTTGTGGCAAGTCGAACCCCAAGCGGGAGTCAAACACGCAGTTCACGCTTACCGAGTGAGTGCGCTATCCGTCACGCCTCCAGGCTACCCTTTCAGCTCAGTTATAGTCTTTATTATTGTCTTTATAAGTAAAGCATGTCAACAAATACTATTTCCAAAGCAGCCAGGCCCAAGGAGACATAGAATATGTAAGTGAAGAAATCATCCCAGCCGCCTGACAAGAAAGCGTTTTGGTTGTTTGACAGAAGACCCAATATCTAGGACCATTTTTGGTTCGGAAAAAAATTTCCATAAGAAAACGAAAATTGCAGTATTGCAAACCATCGGTCAGCGCGGAGATTCGATCCACTAAATCCCCAATGATTCAGCGTTTTGGCTCGCTGAAAAAAGAGAGGCGACCTATTCTGGGGGATGGTCGTACCAACGATCCGATGTTCCTTCAACGTGGTGCTTGACCCCTAAAATCGAGCACTGGTTTCTGGCACCCACTTAAACCATCCGCCGACTACAAACCGTGGCGTAACGCCTTCACGGCCGTCTTAAAGGCTGAGCCCCGCACTCAAATTCTAATGATTTTGGCGGTTCAAAATACTTATTACAAGGTTAGCAAGTAAGCCTTAGTGAAGAAAAATCAGAAAGGAATCATAGGAAAGGCCTATATAGCAAACCAGTCCGGATCGGCCGCTTTCGCCGCCGATCCTCCTTCCGCGTGTGAAGTGGGTCCCCTTGAAAAGTTTCCATGTGAGGCAGGGCCCAGTCCGATCGCCAGCTTAGGCCGGCCGATCCTCCTTCCGCTGATGTGGAAGTGGGTCCACTGTGAGAAGTTTCCGATGTGAGGGAGCCAGTCGGATCGGCCGGCTTGCGCCGATCCCCCTTCCGCGTGGTGAAGTGGGTCCCTGTGAGAAGTTTTCCAGTGTGAGGGAGGGCAGTCGACTCGGCCGGCTTCGCCGCCGACCGTCCTTTCCGCGCTGTGATGTGGGTCGCCTGTGAAAGTTTCCATGTGAGGGCGGGCCAGTCGGATGTCGGCCCGGACTTTCGCCGGCCGATCCCTTCCTTCCGCGTGTGAAGTGGGTCCCTGTGAGAAAGTTTTCCATGTGAGGAGGGCCAGTCGATCGGCCGGCGATTCGGCCGGCCCGCATCCTGACCTCCGCGTGTGAAGTGTGGTCCCTGTGAGACTCAAGTTTTCCATGTGAGGGATGGGCCTAGTCGGATCGGCCGGCTTCGCCGGCTAGAATCCCTTGCTAAATGAGTTGTACGTGCTCAGGGCAAGAGAAATGTGCGTCGGCAAAACGAGTCTCACCTCGTTGATATCAGCTGTTTTCCCCTTATCACCTCAACTCTCACACCAGACAAACCGTCAGGAATGAGTGGAGGGCGTGCCAAATGATTGTAGCTTGGGCCGATGAGAAGAACGACAACATCGTGGGCCTACCCTCACCTCGTTTTTTGCGCTGCGAAAAAGTGGGTGTGGTTATTGCTCATGCAAAAAAAAAGGAACTACCATACCTCTCACGGAGAGGGGAGAAGGAAAATCTCTAACTGAACTGCGGACCTGCCTTTAACCATCGCAGCAACTGCCGGTGAAGTCTGCTCATCCAGTGATAGAAATGCCGTCATCGCCGTTTCCAGGTTGTACCTTATGTTCAGCACCTGTTGAGAACGCTCAGCAAAGGGGTCGTATATGGTTCCCGAAAGCTCGTATTGGTCACCGGCCGCTTTCAATGGAAGGCATTTCATTCTCCCAAACGTGATGCTTGACCGTGACTCGAAAGAGGCCCAGCTTGCTCTCATCATTACCGTGAAAGCTTGTTCCAGATCGTAAACCTAATCTCATATAAAGGGCATATCAATGCAAGTGCTACTGACTGTGATCCAAGCTCGTATTTTAACAATTTTACAGCAGATACATTCATAGACGCTATTGTCTCAGAGTCGTAAAATTTGGTAGCAAAAAAAAACACTTCTCATTCTGTCGCCCGTGCCTTCCTCGTGAAGCCACAGCGGGTTGGTCCACAGAGAGTACTTTCCCTTCAAAAACCCTGCCCCGAAAGAGAAACTCGCTATTCAATTTAGAGGGAGTCCATTTTGCACGCTCACTATTTCCTTTAATTAGTTCATGTAAACTAACAGGTTACACTTCGATGACCTTTCCCGGAGCTGCGAAACGATACAAGGAAGCCTCAGTGAATACAGAAACTTACATGACCTCACAATTTGAATTTCCAGGCTTCGCTGAGTGCCCACATCGAGGCGAACTGCTTTGATGTTCTTCCGACCGCTATGACTAGCTTCCGGTTCCCATTTACGGGTGTGTCGTTCTTTGGCCAGTCATGTACACAGGGTACTGCATCGCGGTGAATGAAATGGTAGTGTACGTACGACCCCCTCCGCCTTCGAGAGAAGGCGTCAGTATGACCCTTTCACCTAAATGGGATCTCGATACGACCCCCCCCCCTTCTCCAACACCTATCTACCAATTTCCCACATTTTCCAGCCCAGTTTTTTCACCCAAAAATTTTCCGTCGGTGGGCACACACAAAATGGGAACCGGGAAAATTTCTTGAATTTTTCCCCAAGTTCCTACCCCACTTTTCCCGTAATTTACCGAGAATTTTCCTACATTTCTCCGATGATTTTGCTGTCGAGCGATGAGAGAGGGGGAGGGATACATAGTAAACATGAAAAAAACAGGCAAAATCACGCGAAATGTTAACAACCGTGAAAATTTTCTCCACAACGCCTTCCTCTCGAAAGCAACTATAGCCCACCCCCTCTCTCTCCCAGTGACCAAATATATCCCCACCCCCTCCTTAGCAAAAGTAGCTCCCCTCTATGTGTTTCACACATAGAATGCTGTACCCCGGTCGTATACATGATGAAATTCCAGCATTCGATTTCACAATCAGCTCGGCCTACCGTACCAAGTGACATGATGTCTAGTGGGCGGATCGTCGTGACTGTGGCACGTGATTACGCAAACCATACTACTACCGGTTCGTACTACTGGCTTTACTCGCTATTTCTGAACGCGATGGGAAGCAAAGAAAGCAGGGTACAAGTTTAATTCATTCTACCCCTCACAGTTTTCCGTTTCTTATTTGAAGCTATTGGTGTTTCCATGTTCGAAATGACAAACTTTCAGCATTCAACTGAGCCTCCAGACGATCCATTCAATAGAACTGCCACTGGATTTGCGCGCGCTGAGGCCGGAACGTGAGTGTTGGAAAATGTCACTCATGAGGCGAAACATCGCATGGACCCCTGTTCTTTTGCTTGTCTCGTAACATCCCTTCTTCTTTAGTACTGCTACGTCTACAATCCAAAGACAACAGCCTAGACGCCAAAATCGCCCGCTGTCACCAATCAGGCATCCCGATGTTCCTTCAGATCCGAGGGATGCCTCTAAGGCGATTGGAGTTCAACACTTCCCACGAGGATACTACCTAGGGTGAGTACACTTATTCTTATGGAAACAAAGCCTCTCAGTGGTTGCGGTAAGTAACAGGATATACTAAATCGGAAAGGAAGTTCTGCAACACTTTGACAAATTTTCGGACCGAATTTTCTTTCACTATAAGACACCTCGAGCCTACAAGGTAATCATCATTAATGACTAGACCTAGTGCCCATCTTTTGCACAGCCTCTCATTCCTACTGTTATAGAGCTGCGACGAATACGATGACAGGAAGAGGTAGACCTCATTATCAGGGAGGCATCGATTCTCGAAATTTTTGCTTGTTAAAGGACGTTTGGATCAAAGAAGATGGTAGGTAGAGGCTTAATTTCGGTTAGTAAGCTGTGTACAGTCGTATTCCCTGATCGGGATCCATGATCTTTTGGCGTAG